GTGAACATTTGGGCGGTGTTATGCAAATCTTCCCACATAGTGACGTAGGTATGTGGGGGCATGTTAGAACGAGCCGTTTTAGGTAGGTGTGGCTGACTCTTAACTTTTATAAAGAATATCTCTTTGGATTTGAGACTTTAGTCTTTGCAGCTTTACATATCTTCTTTATGCACCAAGAGCTTGTAACACTCCAAAGAGAAAGGAAAAATTGAAATCGCATCATATGACCCCTTTAATAGGTTCACCACACAGTCGTATTATAATTATTAAATTATTTTGCATCCTCCACATAGTACTTTAGGTTTCGTCTGGGATTGAGGACGTCTCTTATTTAGATATTCAACCGCAGCAAGCCCATATCTGCCACTTAACATCATATTGAGCAAAACCCAACACATCGGTAGATCTACAATATTAGCCTAAACTTAGTTCACACACAGGCTTATCGCCGTGTTAGTTGTAGTGGGTGACTTACTATCCAACAAGCTGTATTAAACAAGCTACCAAACAAGCTAGGTAACCTTATAATCGCTCATGGAAAAATACATTGGATATCATCTTTTTGTTTTTTTTTGTCATGACTAATTTATTAATGATCCAGCATCATCTGTATTAAAGAGAAATAATCACTTCATCATGTTTAAAGTGAATAAAATATCCTTGACAGCCTACTTACACATAACTACTGAAGAACTCTGTTCTCTCCCACCGCCCACTGGACTCCTGAGGTAAAGGGGGAAAGCAGGCAGTGGACCAAACCACTGTGAGGCAAGGGAGAGACTCTAAACTTTTTAAAAAAATTTTTTACTACTTACACAGTTATTTTAAGTATATGTCATTATATTATTTACAATACACAGAGTGGTTTGTAATGATATTTTTAGTGGGGGGACAACCCTCAGATGGGGGGGGGTCCTGACCCCTCGTCCCCCACGCAATTTACGCCCCTGCGACAAACATCAGGTGATCATAATTAATCAATCCACAGACTCCTGTTCAACATCTGAAAAAAAATAAGGCGAACAAAAAATTGACAAAAAATGATGTTCATAAACATAAAATAAACATGAGATCAAAATTATTGTCTGTAAACAAAACATCCAAAATGTCTCTCTTTGTAGAAGTTTATTTGTCAATATCTCCACTGCAGTGGGAAGTCATCACTTTCTCAATACCTACATGTTTAAGTTGTTCAATATCATGAATCAATGAAGTGTCTGGCAATCGGAGAGATAACATTATATCATCATGGCTGATTTATGTTCACTCACTCTGATGCTCAATGATCTTGATGTTTTCCCATCATACATCAATGGACATGGACATTGATGTAAATATCTTTAGTAAAACATGTTATACAAGATTTGATATGATACACTTTTTTTGTGGAAAGACATGTAAAGTTTTTACATAGTACAGAAGAACATGATTCCAACATAGAAAACAACCTTGTATATGTTTTTTCCTAACTAAGCAAGCCTAAGTTGACACTGGCAAGGAACCAAAACTCCATCTGTGACAGAAATGGTGTCACAGTCTCTTGGTCTCTCAAACACACACGAAGAGGAAGATTAGGTCAAACAGTCTTTAATTAATCCAAACAGGGGTAATTCACAGCAGGCAGGCAGGAGACACACGTTTAACATCAGCATTCAATACCGGACGAGGGAGAACAGAACAGGCTAGAACTAAAGTAGGGTAGTTAACGAGGGGCAGACAGGTGAGGATAATCAACTAATAAAGACATAATGAGAACAGGAACCAAACCAAATAAGGACAAACAGGAACATACACGTGACATGTCGCCCCCCTCCCGGAAGGCACTGTAACAGTAACATCGGTGAGGGGGGGCAGGCGCCAGGGTGGATCAGGGAGTTCCGGGGGCCATGGCGGAGCAGGCAGTTCAGGGGGCCAGGTTCAGGCCATTTTGGAGGCCATGGAGGTACCGGCCATTCTGAAGGACATGGAGGTGCCGGCCATTCTGGAGTCCACGGAGGTGTCAGCCATTCGGGAGGCCATGGAGGTGCCGGCCATTCTGGAGGCCATGGTGGAGCCTTCGTGGCCTTGTCCAGGTCCCCCGGCTCGGCCACTATGGCCACAGATATATGCACCCCCCCCCAAAAAAAATTTTCTTGGCAAAACTAGGTCCTTCAATGCCTGGAGGGATTCTAGAGGGCGCTCTGAAGGAGCGGGCGCTCTGGGGGCTCAGGAGACGAAGGAAGGCTGGACGGGACCAGCGGAGACTCGGGAGACGACGGAGAGCTGGATGGGACCAGCGGAGACGAAGGAGAGCTTTCTGGAGCGGATTCTGGGGTGAGGATAGGAGCCGAGAACTCTGGGGGTAGCGCCATGTCCATGAGAGCTGAGAGGCACGCTGTAGTGGACTCTAGAGCTGGAGCTTTGGAAGACCGCCTCCTCCTCCTCAGCCTCTTCCTTTGGGCTGAGGTTTGAGAGAGTGCAGCGGCCGACGGGCTTGAGTGAGCAGAGGCCGGCGGGCTTGACTGAGAAACGGCTGGTAGGCTTGACAATGGAGCGGCTGGCGGACTCGATTTCTGAGCGGCCGGCCGAAGTGCGGGAGGAACGGAGGGAGCAGGCTCATTAGAACCATATGTGGAGGGAGCTGGCTTGTGGTGAGCTGGAGCGTCCACATACTTCCGGATGGGAGGAGGGTGATTCTGGGGTATGGAATCCTCCACATCGACTAGGAACTTGGAACCATTTAAATCTAGAATGTAGTTTATAAAATCCGCTACGGGTCTGCGGCAATCGTCAGGAGTCAAGAATCTAAACAAACTATCATCTTTTAGTCTCATCCGGAAGCACGCATCAGATAACCAGATTTATCACGCTCAGAAACTCCTCCACATACTGCTCCAAAGGCCGTCCCTCCTGCTGGAGATCCAGGAGAAAATCCTCAGCCCAGTTAACGTTGCTCAGTTCTGTCATCTTGTTGTGGTCCGGTATTCTGTCACAGTCTCGTGGTCTCTCAAACACACACGAAGAGGAAGATTAGGTCAAACAGTCTTTAATTAATCCAAACAGGGGTAATTAACAGCAGGCAGGCAGGAGACACAGGTTTAACATCAACATTCAATACCGGACGAGGGAGAATAGAACAGGCTAGAACTAAAGTAGGGTAGTTAACGAGGGGCAGACAGGTGAGGATAATCAACTAATAAAGACACAACGTGAACAGGAACCAAACCAAATAAGGACAAACAGGAACATACACGTGACAAATGGAGAAACAAACTTTATTTAAGCATCTATTGATGTAAAGGTCATTTTTAGGTGCTGATCCACCATCTGGTCTGGATATGGACTGGATCTGGGTGGCTACAGTGAACCTCTGGTCTGGAAACCAACTGGATCTGGGTAGCTACGGTGACCTCAGAATAAGAATGAAACAGACTAATATTAGTGCAGATGCCATTCTTCTTACGATGTAATAATTACATCGGGTGTTATGGAAAGTGTTCCCGGTTCCGATTGACCTAATTAATGCAGCCTAACAATCCTTTAATGGATTTGAATTATAGAAGAGCGATTGACAAATGGAGAAACAAACTTTATTTAAGCATCTATTGATGTAAAGGTCATTTTTAGGTGCTGATCCACCATCTGGTCTGGATATGGACTGGATCTGGGTGGCTACAGTGAACCTCTGGTCTGGAAACCAACTGGATCTGGGTAGCTACGGTGACCTCAGAATAAGAATGAAACAGACTAATATTAGTGCAGATGCCATTCTTCTTACGATGTAATAATTACATCGGGTGTTATGGAAAGTGTTCCCGGTTCCGATTGACCTAATTAATGCAGCCTAACAATCCTTTAATGGATTTGAATTATAGAAGAGCGATAGTGTGTTATGTGTATACCAGGTTAAAGAGATGGGTCTTTAATCTAGATTTAAACTGACAGATTTTGTCTGCCTCCCGAACAATGCTAGATAGATTATTCCAGAGTTTGGGCGCAAAAAAGGAAAAGGATCTGCTGCCCGCAGTTAATTTTGATATTCTAGGTATTATCAAATGGCCAGAGTTTTGAGATCGCAGAGGACGTGAAGGACTACAATGCGATATGAGCTCGCTCAAGTACTGAGCAGCTAAATCATTCAGGGCTTTATAAGTAATTAGCAAGATTTTAAAATGTATACGATGTTCAGTAGGGTGCCAGTGCAGAGTTGACCGAACCAGGCTAATATTGTTGTACTTCCTGGTTCTAGTAAGAATTCTAGCTGGTGCGCGCAGAGCAACCACCCAATAAAGCATTACAATAATCTAACCTTGAGGTCATGACGGCATTAACGTTTCTGCATTTGACATTGAGAGCATAGGTCATAATTTAGATATATTTTTAAGATGGAAAAATGTGTTTTTACAAATGCTAGAAACATGTTTTTTAAAGGAAAGATTGCTATCAAATAGCACACCTAGGTTCTGTCATAGGTTGCTACTGTGAGGAGCACGGAGCGAGGAACGAGGAGACCAGGAGTACAAAACAAAGTAGTTTAATTCTTTTTTTCAGGGAATCACACGTAGCACAAGGAGTTGACAAACAATTCCAGACAAGGGAGAACAGAACGGGCTAGAACTAAATAGGGCAGATAACGAGGGGCAGACAGGTGATGGGCATAACTAATAACAAGGAACAGGTGATACTAATAATGGGAAAAGGAACTGGAAGGACCAAATAAGGACAACAGGAACTAAA